GACTCGAGCGTGGGACTTACAAAATTTCAAAGGTCAAGTTCGTCTTTATCAATGATAAATACTTTTGAAATCGCAACCGATGTAAATGTGGAGTAAAAAAGAGAAATAAAAGAAGCGAAGCAACAAGAAAAAATATACACGTTCGAGACACGTGTTATTGACGTTGGACGTGCCGTTTTCACGATTTAGCCCTATGTTCTCATCGACTGGTACAGTGTCAAAATAATCAAGTGAAAATTTCGTGGTCCGCAAGTATGTGATTATATCGCACAAAATATCGTAAAATATCCAACGATTTTACTTGCCACTACACTTCATACATTCCTTTGTTTTTCTGTATCGACTTTGAACTTTACCTAGTAGATAAGCGGAAATACACGTATGTGCGTGTATACCTACTCTGGCGAACACTTTGAAAACATTTTATATTTTTATTTCATTCATTATGCATTGTTACATCAGACTCGATGACAGATTGTAAATAACGTTAATTAATCTACTGTTCGTACCGATGTTGCGTAATAAGCAAATTGCGATGATCCTCGATCAAAAGCAGGTTGGCTCATAAACTTCTTCCCCTATTTCTCGCGAATACTGAGACATTGCAGAATTTCTGTATTTATAGTATTTGATATTTTATAAGCAGTCGAACTAACTAAAATTCGTGTAAATACTCGTGAATATATATTATAAAGACAGCGAAAGTAAATAAAAGTTATTTTAGAATATAATATTTTTTAACACAACGCGTTTCTTCTTGTTCTAGTTTCTATGGAAATTATTCTTCCTTCGCGTATAAACCAGTAAGTAGAGAACGTAGGGCGAATTACGAAAGAGTACATAAACTTTGCATCTAGGGTGGCTAATCTTCGTTTGATAAGTATTCGATTGAGTAATCGATTTAATTTTCAAATAATCAATTGGACGAAATGCGAGGCAATCAGTTACGTGATGATTAACATAATAGGAAACTATATCAAAGTCCAATAGATGCAAGAATATCGCGTTAGAATGATCGACGCATTGTCTCATATTAGATAGATAGACTCATCGATCAATGCATGAACGTGCATATCTGATTCAGCAACAGCAATAAATAAGCTCTGAACCAATACGAACAAGATTAATCGGTTCGCTCGAACGTATTACTGAAGCAGTAAATAATTTATTACATGTGTTCGAATAGATGACCCGGGGGCACTTGCCGGACTTTGAGAGGCAGGGGTCACCAGTTCGAGAGATGCTGTCGGTATTATCACTCATCTCGTTTTCTTCTTTCTTCTCTTTCCTCTTCCCTTCTCTCTTCCTTCTTGGCGAATCTTTATCTTTGGACGATTGTCAACCGTCTGGGTGAACATGTAACTTTGTCACTAATTTCTTTCCCTCTAACCTTTCACTTTGTCCCCTTTCTCCCCTTTCTATTAATTGACATTTTCTTCAAATACTTGCTGTCAAACGTTTGATTAAAAAATACATCGAGTGGATTCGGTTTTACTCGATCTTCGCTGATCGAGCATATTTGTTTAACAATACGATAATGGTAAGGATATCAATTTATGCGTCACGAGGGTGATAGGTTTATTCTTCAGCATGTTATTGGGTGTTTAGGTCAAAGTAGACTTCCCATGATCGCATGATATTTCCCTCGCGCGTGAAGATGATATTTAACAATGATCATAAATATCATTGATGAGTCGTACGGGTGATAGGAGTTGTTTCCACGACTGAAACGGGATAAAAGGTGAAGATCGAAAGATAGAGCGACTAAATGTGTAACGGAATCTTATCATGCGATAATATTGAAATGCAGTTCCTTGACAACGGCCGGTGAAATAAATCAATACGTAGACTCCTTTATTTTTTTTCTTTTTTTTTTTT